ACAACGCTCCTGCTCGAGGCTTCTTCCCTTTTTCCTCAGGACGGTGCTGTTCCTTGCCGCCGACAGCCCCCCTCCCGACAAGCACGGCTCCCGCTCGAGACTCCTTCCCTTCTTATTCAAGGCGGTGTTCCTCCTCGCCGCCGACAATCATCGTCCCAACAAAACCAGCGCTCCCGCTCGAGACTTCGTTTCGTTTTACGCTGGACTAGCGCCCTACTCTCTTCAGCATTGGCGCCGCTCCCAGGAACAAGAGCGGTCCTGCTCGAGACTTCCTCCCTTTCTATTCAGGGCCAGGTACTTGCCTCGCCGCCGACGGCCCCCATCCCCACCAATACAATGCTGTCGCTCGATACTTCCTTGTGCTTTACCCTTGGCTGGGGTTCCACTGGCGGTCTCGCATCGGCGCAGCAAGGCGCGGACATGCGTTTTCGAGGCGGGATATGTTGAAATTCCTCGGAGGAGGTGCTTGCAAGATCTCATTGGGCGAGAGATCTGGGAATGGGAATAACGGACCCCACTATAGAACAATAGTCCCCCATGATGGGGATGGTTTTCATGGTGGTCGCATGCTTCGCGTGGAAACATCGCGCATACGGGTAAACTTGTTGTTGTTGTTGCTGCTGTTGTTGTGCTTGTTGGTGTGCTTCTTGTTTGTGTTGTTGGTGTTGGTGTTGTTGATCTTGATGGTGTTGTTGGTGTTGTGGTTGTTGTTGTTGTTGTTGTTGTTGGTGGTGTTGGTGTTGTTGTTGTAGTTGTTGTTGTTGTTGTAGTAGCTGTTGTTGTTGTTGGTGTTATTGTGTTTGTGTTTGTTGTTGTTGGTGTTGTTGTTGCTGTTGTTGTTGTTGCTGTTGCTATGTTTGTTGTTATTTGTGGTATTGATGTTGTTGCTGCTGTTGTTATTGTTGTTGCTGTTGGTGTTGGTGTCGTTGCTGTTGCTGTTTTTGTCGAGTTCTCATTATTGAAGAATCATTATAGTTGACCCCCCCTCCGGTGAGCATTGTGTTTTTTCATCTGAAGTGTTTTTCCCGGGGCTCCTACCCTATTTTTAACTTGGGGAAGTCACTAGGCTCAAACTGCGCCCCTGGCCCCCGGATTACAACAACAACGGCTCCCGCGTGATATGTTCTTACACATTAACCAGGACACCCGCTCCCGCCTGAGAATTCCTCGCAATTTATTCAGAAATCGCACACTCGCTTGGAATTTACTTCTTTGCAATGGATTCAGGAATCGCCCTCTCGGCTCTCTGGAGTCGCGCTCTCGCTGGAGACTTGCTTGCAATTTACTCCAGAATCGCGCTCTTGCATGGGAGTTCTATACTCAAGCGCCGCGATTCCGACGTTCAGGCACATTCAGGCACAGATCTCCCTCGTAGCTTTTTTAGGAATCGGGATCTCGCTGCCCTTCGTGGCCCCTTTGCAGCCCCTCGTGGCCCCCTCGCTGCCCTTCGTGGACCCGTTGCAACCCTTCGTGGCCCCCTCGCTGCCCTTCGCGGACCCGTGGCAGCCCTTCGTGGCCCCCTCGCTGTTCGTGGACCCGTTGCAGCCCTTCGTGGCCCCCTCGCTGCCCTTCGTGGACCCGTTGCAGCCCTTCGTGGCCCCCTCGCTGCCCTTCGCGGACCCGTGGCAGCCCTTCGTTGCCCCCTCGCTGCCCTTCGTGGCCCCGTTGCAGCCCTTCGTTGCCCCCTCGCTGCCCTTCGCGGACCCGTGGCAGCCCTTCGTTGCCCCCTCGCTGCCCTTCGTGGCCCCGTTGCAGCCCTTCGTTGCCCCCTCGCTGCCCTTCGTGGCCCCGTTGCAACCATTCGTGGCCCCCTCGCTGCCCTTCGTGGCCCCGTAGCAGCCATTTGTGGCCCCCTCGCTGCCCGTCGTGGCCCCATATGCATGCCCTTCGTGGCCCCGCTACCCTTCGTGGCTCCGTTGCTGCACTCAGTGGCCCCGTCCTTGCCCTCTGCGGCCCAATACTCGTATGCCCTTCGTGTCCATCGCTCGTTCGCGCCCGTCGTGGCTCATATGCATGCCCTTCGTGGCCCCGCTGTCGCCCTTGGTGGCCCCCTGGCTGTCCTACGTGGCCCCGTTGCTTCCCTCAGTGGCCCCGTCCTTGCCCTCTGGCCCCGCATTATCTGCCCTTCGTGGCCCCATACGCATGCCCTTCGTGGCCCCCCTGCTTGCCCGATGTTGCCCCGCTGTCGCTCTCGCATTCGCTCGTCGTCGTCGCCGTCGCCGTCGCCGTCGCCGTCGCCGTCGCCGTCGCCGTCGCCGTCGCCGTCGCCGTCGTCGTCGTCGTCGTCGTCGTCGTCGTCGTCGGTCCCTTGTCCGTCCCTCTTGGGGCCGGGCTGCCGCCGATCAGCGTTGCCGCTTGCCAGGCCAGGCCGACGGTCCGTGGCCGTCGCGCCGCTTGCTGGGGCCCGGCCTGCAGGGAAGAAAGATTTACCCCCCGAAAGGGGTACGATCGAAGACGAAGAGGGCGTGTAGCGAGGGTTTGGGAAATACGCGTTGAATGACACTCGGGCAGATAAGAGCGAGAAGTGTCTTGAAATGATTGTTTTTGTTGTTGGTGGTGTTGAATTCTCATATCTGAAGAATAATTATTGTTGGTCCCCACCACTGGTGCATACTGTTTTTTCTCAATCAAAGTGTGCCCCTCGACGCTCGCACGCTGTTTTTTTATCAGGGAAAGTATTGAAGCTCAAACTGTGCCCTGGTCCCCGGTTTACAACAACAGCGGCTCCCGCTTAAGACTTCCTCACAATTTAGCCAGGACCCCCGCTCCCGCCCGAGACCTCCTCGCATTTTATTCAGGAGTCGCGCTCTCGCTTGGGACTTCCTGGCAATTTATTCACGAATCGCATTCCCGGCGCTCTCGAGTCGCGCTCTCGCTGGAGATTCGCTTGCAATTTACTGAAGCCAAGCGCCCTTGCGTTGGAATTTCTTGCAATTTACTCCAGCGCCGCGCTCCCGACACCCAGGCACCCAGGAGTCGCGTTCACGCTTAGGACTCCCTCACAGATTACTTAGGAATCGAATCTCGCAGCCCTTCGTGGCCCCGTTGCAGCCCTTCGTGGCCCCTTCGCTTTGCTTCGTGGCCCCGTTGCAGCCCTTCGTGGCCCCCCCGCTGCCCTTCGTGGCCCCGTTGCAGTCCTTCGTGGCCTCCTCGCTACCCTTCGTGGCCCCGTTGCAGCTCTTCGTGGCCCACTCGCTTTGTTTCGTGGCCCCGTTGCAGCCCTTCGTGGCCCATCGCTTCCCTTCGTGGCCCCGTCGCAGTCCTTCGTGGCCCCGTTGCAGTCCTTCGTGGCCCCGTCGCTGCCCTTCGTGGCCCCGTTGCATCCCTTCGTGGCCCCCTCGCTGCCCTTCGTGGCCCCTTACATGTATGCTCTTCGTGGCCCCCGCTCGTTCGCGCCCGTGGTGGCCCCATATGCATGCCCTTCGTGTCCCCGCTGTCGCCCTTCGTGACCCCCTCGCTTTCCTTCGTGGCCCCGTTGCTGCCCTCAGTGGCCCCGTCCTTGCTTTCCGCGGCCCAGTATATGTATGCCTTTCGTGGCCCCCGCTCATTCGCGCCCGTTGTAGCCCCAGGTGCATGCCCTTCGTGTCCCCGCTGTCGCCGTTTGTGGCCCCCTCACTGTCCTGCGTGGCCCTGTTGCTACCCTCAGTGGCCCCATCGCTGCCTTCTGTGGCCCCGCATTATTTGCCCTTCGTGGCCCCCGCTCATTCGCGCTCTTCGTGGCCCCATACGCATTCCCTTCGTGTCCCCGCTGTCGCCCTTCGTGGCCTACTTCGTGTCCTTGTGGCCCTGCTGTCGTTCTCTCTCGCTTTCGCTCGTCGTCGTCGTCGCCGTCGTCGTCGACGTCGTCGTCGTCGTCGTCGTGGTCGGTCCCCTGTCCGTCCCTCTTGGGTCGGGTCGACGGTCCGCGGCCACCCCGCCGATCAGCGCTGCCGCTTGCCAGGCCGACGGTCCGCGGCCGCCCCGCCGCTTGCCGGGGCCCGGCCTGCAGGTAAGATGAGTATACCCCCCAAGAGGGGTTCGATCGAAGACGAAGAGGGCGGGAATCGCGGGTTTGGGAAATACGCGTCATTGGACACTCGAGCAGATAAGGGCGAACAGTCTTAAAATTATTGCTGTTGTTGTTGTTGTTGTTGTTGGTGGTGTTGTTGTTGGTGTTGGTGTTGTTGCTGGTGTTGCTTTTCAGTTGTTGTCGTCCCCGCCTCGAACCGGCCCGCGACCCACCCGCGACCCACCTGCGACCCGCCACCCACCTGCGATCCACCTGCGACCCACCCCGCGACCCACCCGCGAATCACCCGCGACCCGCCCGCGACCTGCGACCCCTCCGCGACCCACCCGCGACCCACCCGCGACCCACCCGCCACCCACTTCGCGGCCCACCCGAGACCCACCCGTGACCCAACTGCGACCCACCCGCGACCAACCCCGCGATCCACCCACATTGCTTTTTAACGAAACATTGGCGCCTGCGGCGGGCCCCTTGTATAATTCGTAAAATCAGGCGCGTGCGGTGGGCTTCTTCACAGCCTCGCAGACTGCCAACGTCCCCGCCGCCCCCTCACTCTTTTACGCAACTGCGGGGTGCTACGTATATACACATATACATAGCCAGTTTACACGCATATATGTTTCACATGTTTTACCATCCGGGGGGTGGGGAAAATCCCTCCCCCCCAAGCCAGGCACTTCGGAATGAGGGGAGAAGAGTGGAAGAGATGAGAGCTGAGGGGAGCAGAGAAGAGGAGGGGAGGGGGGGAGGGAGGGAAGGGGGGCTGGGAGGGGGGGGGGGGAACCGCCGGGAACGGGGGAGGGGCAAGCGGAGGCGATACTGCCACCGCGACGGCGGAGCGATGACCTTTCGCCGGTCTCGTCCGCCGCCTTCCCTCAGCCAGGCCGCCCCGCCCCCTTTCCCCTCCTCCGCCCCCCCGTCGCTCTGCCGCTCCACGCCTGCTTCTTGCGCTGTGGCGCTCGACCCCCCCCCCCGCTCAAGCGCCCCCCAGATGTGCCTCTTCATGGCCACCTTCTTCGCCGTCACGGCCCTGTGCATGGGTGTCCCGTCACGCTCTCTCCGCTTTGTTGCCACGCCAGCCGCCCGAGGACGAGGAGGAGTTGAGGAAGGGCCAGGATCATCACGTCGTGTAAGCCCGCGGCCGCGAGGGATCAAGCGGCGTTCGGGCAGCGGCGGCGCGCGCTGTGGAGCCCGAACAAACGTATGCTGCGTCAGCGATGCCGTGTGACGCCCTCCCGTCCCGGGTCCCCCTCACTGCCGCAGGCGCCCCCGCTGCAGTGCGGGCGCCCCACGGGCCCGCCCTTCCGGCGAGGGCCTCGCTCTGAAGAGGGATCCGCCCGCCAGCGTGAAGGGAGATCCGCCCGCCAACGTGACGGGGCCGCTTCTGGAAGAGAACGACCTTGACGAGGGCGCGGAAGGTCCGAGGTGTTTGAGTCAGGTTTTGCAGGGGGTCTGTCGCGCGGCTTCAATTCCGCGGGATTGAACAGTTCCACCATCAAGCCACCTGCCTCTGTGCAGTCCCCTCGTCGCGGCAGGGACTGCACGGAGGCAGGGCCGTGCCTCCCAGGGAAGGGTTCCAGCGAGTGCCCGGCTTTGAAACGGAGCCACCTCCACTCAGTAAGTGTTGGGCTCGCTGTTGTGTACGAGCAGTTTGTGGTCATGCAGCATCTCAGGGCGCCGCCAGGGCGGGGCCCAGGCACGCGCGAGAGGCGGCGACAGGGAGGAGGGAGGAGGAAAGGGGAAAAGGAGGAGGACGAACGCCGTGCAAGCTGTGCAAGCTCTTTATGATGACTGTGATCTTTCGCATCTCCAACGTCATCGAAAGGGCGGCGGCCTTCAAGCTGAAGGTCGCAGGGTGCAAGATCGTGCCGCTGGCCGCCGGGTTCTCCAGCGAGCTCGCCAGTAGGTATTCTGAGTGGTTTCGTTCCACTCTCCCGCAGTGGGCCTAGATCGTTAGCGTTTCGAACTACTTCGGCCTCTGGCTAGGCCCTGCCGCGGAGATGCACTCTTAGAGGCCCCCCGTCGGCAAGTGGCCGGATCGCAGTTCGATCTTGGCTAGTCAAGGATTTGTTTCTGCGGTCACCGCGTTGTTATCTGAAGGCCGCGTGGCCTCTGCGCTCTCCTGTGTCTCTCACTTCCTGCCGCTTCCGCTAGAGGTTGCCCGTCAGGAGCCAGCATTGTTTGCGAAGCTGTTTCAGACCCCACACCGCGTGATTCCTAGGGCTGGTTGGCACGAGCTGTCTCGTTGGGGTGGCCCTAGAGTATCTAGCGTGCAAGCCACTTCCACTGCTGCTCTCATCTGTGCGAGCCGCGTCCACCTGACTGTCTGGCGTGATCTCTTCCTTCAGCTGCAGGAGACTGCCGAATCCGAGCTGCCTGTGGCCTTTCGCATCCGCTCTCGTGCGCTCTCTCCCTGTCTCTGGCGGCTCCCATTCTGTGTCGAGCTTCGAGCAGCCGCTTCTGCGGGTTTTCCATCTGCCGTGGGTGCGGGCAGGGGCCTGATCACGTCCATCCCTCGCTCCCAGCTCCCTCCTGCTGCTGCCGCCAGCGCCGCGATCGCCTCCCTCGATGCCCGGCACCCTGAAGCTCCTGGTGGCCAAAAGCTTGAAGCTCAAAAGCATCTCTAAGGTCAGCTAACGTTGATTTTACATAACGTTGATCTCGCCGACGCGTTTGCCTCCCTGCTGGCCTCTTGGAGCCAAGAGAGTTTTGCCGAAATCCGCGGCCGTCACTGGGACGATCTCCGTTGGATCCTGGCCCTTCTTCCTGTTGCGTTCTCGATGGTTGTGCTCAAGTCCCTGATGGAAGGACCTGCGTTTTCAGGAAACGTCGCCGTGCATGTTTGGCTGCGTAGGCTGTGAAGATGCTCTTTCACACTATTGGAGTTGTCGATTTCTTTTTCGTCTGTCTCGCTGAGCCTATCCGTCTTTATCCTGCCGTTTTTTTACACCTCTTTTTTCGGCCGTGTCTGTCTAGCCGTCCCGTCCAAGACTTCCTTGAGAGTTCTTGCTGGCGCATCCATTATTCACAAATTCCTGAATGCCGAGCGCCAGATACCGATCCCACCAGAAGGGGGTCAGGTCAGTTCTTCCGACGGCGGGGCCGTCGTTAGATCGCCTGTGAAAGTGGACCCGTCCGCTTGAGGCCACGCGCGAGGATGAGGAAGAGGAGGAGAACGAGGAGGAGGAGGATGAGGAGGAGGGGGAGGGAGAGGAGGAGGAGAGAGGAGGAGGAGGGAGGAGAGAGATGAGGAGGGAGGAGATGGAGGAGAGGGATGATGATGATGATGATGATGATGATGATGATGATGATGGTGATGGTGATGGTGATGGTGATGGTAGTGGTGATGGTGGTGGTGATGATGCTGATGATGGTGATGATGATGGTGGTGGTGGTGATGATGATGGTTGTGGTTGTGGTGATGATGAAGGTAATGATGATGATGATGATGATGATGATGATGATGATGAGGGTGAGGGTGAGGGTGAGGATGAGGATGCGGATGCGGATGAGGATGATGATGATGATGCTGATGATGATGATGATGATGATGATGATGATGATGATGATGATACTGACGCTGATGGTGATATTGATGGTGGTGGTGGCGGTTGTGGTGGTGGTGACGGTGATCTTATATTGTTGCTGGTGGTGACGACGGTGATGATGTTGATGATGATGTTGATGATGGTGGTGGCGACGACGACGATGATGATGGTGATGTTGATGACTTTGATGCTTATGATGGTGATGGTGATACTGATGATGATGATGATGATGATGATGATGGTGATGATGAGGCCGATGATGATGATGCTGATGGCGATGATGGTGAAGCTGATGATGTTGATGACGATGATGGAGATGTTGCTTATGCGTCTGGTGATGATGATGCTGGTGAGTACGATGGTGCTGGGAACGATTATGATGATGCTGATGGTGATGATAGTACGTATGATCATAAGTACGATTATGAGGAGGCTGATAATGATGATGCTGCTGATGATGATGATGCTAATGATGATGATACTGATCATGAATACGATGATGAAGACGATGATGATGATGATGATGATGATGATGATGATGCTGATGCTGATGATGATGATGATGATGACAACAAAGCTGATGATGCTGATGATGATGATGGTGGTGATGATGATGGTGATGATGATGGTGATGATAATGATGATGATGATGATGATGATGATGATGATGATGATGATGATGATGATGATGATGATGATGATGATGATGATGATGATGATGACGATGACGATGATGATGATGATGATGATGATGATGATGATGATGAGAGGAGGAAGAGGAGGAGGAGGAGGAGGAGAGGGAGGAGGAGGGATGGACGAGGAGGAGAGGAGGAGGGAGGAGAGGAGAGAGAAGAGGAGGAGGGGAGGAGAGGACGAGGAGAGGAGGAGGAGGCGGAGGAGGAGGAGGAGGCAGAGGAAAAGGAGGAGGAGGCAGGGCAAAATAATGATGATGAGGAGGAGGAAGAGGAGGAGGAAGAGGAGGAGGAGGGGGGGGACGAGGACGAGGAGGAGGAAGAGGAAGACGAGGAGGAGGGCGGAGGGATGATGGGAGGATGAGCAGGGAGGAGGGAGGAGGCGGGACGGGCACCCGCGAGCGGCGGCGACGGGCGGCCGGAGAGCGGGGCCGCGCCCCCGGGGGCCGAGGCACCATGGCGATGGCCTACGGCGTGCTCACGCAGAGGTGCTCCCGGTGCCCGATCGCGGGCGGGGCTGGCGCCCCTCCAGGGGAGCAGCGCTGCGCCCGACCGAAGACGCCCGGCCCCTCTTTTGGATCGGGCCGTGGGGCCCCTGCCTGCTGCCTTCCCCCCCCCCTCTGCTAGTGAAAGCTGTGCGCGGCCCGCTCAGCTTCGACCGGAGGAGGTGCGCTCTCGACCCGCGGATTAAAAGCGTTTTGGATTGGGTCTCAAGCGAGCTGGCGCCTGGTTAACGAGCTTGGCGAGTGCCTAGTATTGCAGGGGGTGGAGTCTCACACGGGACCGCCCGTGAACGACAGGGCTGATGATTTCGCGGATTGTGGTGCCATTGGATTTTTTTGTGGCTTGCCAGATGTGCTGAGGTGGGCAAGTTTTGCAAGCTGATCATCTAGAGCTGAGGCCAGGCAGCCCCTGGATGCATCCAGACACGCGTTGGGCCCCCTAGATGCTGTTCAGGCAAAATTGCCTACATCGAGCGAACATCGTCGACGATGGGACCGAAGGGGCAGCGGAGAGATGCAGTATACAGAAGGATGTTTAAGAAGCCCCGGAACCACCCCGTGTGTTGCTGCGCCCGATCGAAGAAGTCGGCCAACGTCCTTTCGCGAAATTTAGCCAGAGTTTTTGTCCGCACGTCGTCGGCACCCCCAGACCCCGAATTTCCATGTTGATGCCGAAACGCATGACTTTGAACTTCGTCGGAGTCCGCGGACCGCGCCGCGCGCGCAACTGAACGTTGAAATTTGCCGCGATCGGGGAGTATCGGCAAAACTTACGTTGCTTTTCGTTGAGTGTTGTATACAGAGTCGGGTGAAACGGAAAAACACCGTCAGTGCTGCATGTCGTCCACCCAACGACGCCCTGGCCGGCCTCCTGCACGATGCGGCCAGCCGCTGTTTTTTTTGATTATGTTTTACTGCTGGCTGTGCTTATCATGACCCCTGGTGCCCTCCATGGTTCAGTTGTTGTGCCACACTGGCTCCAGAGACGAAGGCCGCCACACTCTCTGGAGGTCCTGGAGCGTGTCCCGAACCCATTCCAGCGTGACGTGGCTCTCGCCCTGCTCCGAGACGTGGCCGAAAGGCTGAAGAGCCCCCAGGCTGGCGATCTGGCTCTCTGTTCTGGCGGGACGTCGTTTCCAGCGGCTCCAGAGGTTTCCAGCCTCTTCTTTCGGCGGCGAGCGAGGGGGGGAAATGAAAAGGAGAAGGCCTGCTCAGAAGGCAGCGGGACTCCTCAGAAGCCCGCGCGCCTTCTGAGAAGTTTTTTGTGTCTTCGGGGAAGACTTGAAAAACTTCTCAGAAGGCGGGGTCGGGGGCCTCTGAGCAGGTCGCAAGCCTCAACTGCCTCAGGACCATCCCCTGTGGGGTCTGGGGGCCCTCGAGATTCCCTGTGGACCCAGATCCAGGCTCTCTTTTATACCCATGTCGAGCAAGCATCCTTCACCATATGTTACGAACGCTCTCAGAGACTTTCACTAAGTAGTACGTAGGGCCTCCCCAGCCTCATTCAAAGGCCCTCGCAGAACGTTTTCCCCAATTCGGGTTTTGCCTCAGGGTTTTGTTTTGCTTGTGGAAGAAACTGGTGGGTGCCAGGTCGTTCGTCAGAGGCGTTGCTCGGATGTGCCAGGGGTTGCACGGGGTTGCCAAGCAACGCCATGCAATGCCAAGCAAAACAAAGCGAAGCAATGACAAGCAATGCCAAGCCAATGCCAAGCCATGCCAAGCATGCCCGCGCAATGCAAAGCGACGTCAAGCAGTGCAACGCAACACGAAGTAATGCCAAGCAACGATTCCAGGCAGCGCCAAGCAATGGTAATCTAATGCCACTCCAGTGCCAAATGGCAGTGTCAGTCAACGCCAAGCAATGCCAATCCAATCCTGACCCAGTGCCAAGCAGCGATCCCAAGCAATGCCAACCAAGCAATACCCAGCAAAACGATTCTAAGCAATGCCAAGCAATGCCAAGCAACGATCACAATCAGTTCCAAGCAGTGCAAAGCAATGCCAAACAAGCCTACCCAACGCCAAGCAATCCCAATCGATTCCAACACAATCCCGATATGATGGCAATACAATGCCAATCCAACGTGGTACAATTCCAATCAAATGCCAAGGAACACTTAGCAACGCCAAGCAAGGCCAAGCAACGATCCCAAGCAACGACATGCAATGCCAAGCAATGCCAATCAACGACTACATGCAGAGCGAGGCAATGCAAGTCCAATGCCAATACAATGCCAAGCAGTGCAACGTAACACCAAGCAATGCAAAGCAATGCCAATCAACGATCCCAAGCAATGCCAAGCAATGTCCAGCAACGATTCCAAGAAATCCCAAGCAGTGCCACGCAACAGTCCCAGTCAATTCCTAGCAATGCAAAGCAATTTAGAACAATGAACAGCAATGTCAGTCCAATGCTAGTACAGTGCCAAGCAACGCCACGTAATGCCAAGCAGCGCCAAGCAATGCAAAGAAGTGCCAAGCAATGTCCAGCAACGGTTCCAAGCACTGCTAAACAATGCCAAGCAATTCCTCGCGTCACTGTGCACTACTCAGAACTAGTTGAATTTCTTTGGAAGGAAGACGATCCCTAATTGGGATCGTGCCAGGTTCATTTGTGACATCGTTGGGCAGTGCTGACTGTAGCCATCACGCCCACTGGGGCGCTCTCAGTGGAAAATGAGGAGCAGCAGGGGGGGCAGGAGGAGAAAGAATAGGATGACGGCGGCAGCGACAGCCAGCACCCAGACCTCGAGGAGAGTTGCTAACTTGCTACCGGTTGTGACGCTCCGATCGGCTTTCTTTGGCCCGAGCTGTGGCCTTGGAACCAAGTGGGCCAGTGTAGGTCCCTACCCGAGTGGGGGAGTCTCCGTTATGTCTGGAGAAATGCTATAGAAATCATTGCTAGACTATGCCAGCGGACACTGGCCTACAGCTGCCAAGCTTATAGCTGCCAGGCTACAGCTGATTGTCGCCGCCGTTGCCAGTGACGGTGGCGATCTTCTTGATCTGACATTGTGCTGCTACGGTCAGCTGTGCGCTGGTGCATTGTGCTGCTATGAGCGGTCGTGCGCTCTACGGGAAAGATAGGGCAGGGTGGTCATGCAGGGGGAACGCTATTCAAAGACATGGTGTTGCGAACATTCTAAAACCATCTTGATATATCTTTCCTGGTCCCTCCTTCCTCCCTCCTCCCAGGTGCATCTCGTCCGGGTCCCTGGCGCGGCTGATCTATTGTTGCTCGTGCGGCGCGAGCCTGATACTGGGATCTCTGTGGATCGGTCTGAACGCGTACGGGACGCTGGACACCCTGCTAGGCACCGGGGCGGGGGGATGAGGGACAGGGCGAGGGAGGAGTGTCGACAGGGTGACCCTTCGCCGGGGTGACTCTTGGTACGGGCCCAACGCGATGCAGAAGTAGCGTCTTGCACGCTTGTGTTTGGTCTCCCCACGGCGCCCGAAAGTCGCGCACCAAAGGCCACTCTTGCCTTGGGTCACTCTTGCGTGTAGCCGAAGGGACGGGGAGGAGTGGGAGGAGTAGCGCAAGCACCTGCCAGCAAGGAAGGCAATCGACGGCGCACCTGCCGGCATTCGCTGGTGAGATAAGCGGAAGCGCCGCTGCTCCCTTCCTGCGGCGCCGGCAAGTTCACGCACCTGCTCCGGGCCACGCCGCCAACGAGCACGGTGGCTGCCGCGGCCAATTATGAAAGCGCGCCATGCCCCCATAGTTGTAAAGGGGTCGTGTGCTAACGGACCCCCCCCCCCACCCCGATTTCACAGGGGGGTGATGTTTTCGGACCCCCCCTCCCCCCCTTTCAAGGGAGGGGGGGACGGTTTCGGACCCCCCCCCTCTGCGCAAGAGGTGGGGGAGTGGCATTTCGGACCCCCACTGTTCCCTTTTCAAAGGGGGTCGGATCCCCCCTCCCCCCTGCGCCGGACAGGGGAGCGGGGAGAGTGCCTGCCGCTTTCCTGTGCTGCGCCGGAGATGGTCGGGGTCAGGGTTAGGGTGGTTGGGTCGGGATGAAAGTGTTAGGGTTCGGGTGTTAAGCTTAGGGTGTTAGGTTTAGGGCGTCAGGATTAGGGTGTTAGGATTAGAGGTAGAGTTACAGGGTTAGGGTTTGGGTTGGGGTTAGTTTTATAGTGGGGTCGGATTAGGGTGTTCGGGTTAGGGTTCGGGTTAGGGGGTTAGTGTTTGGGTGGTAGGGTTCAGGTTAGGGTGATAGGGATAGTGTCAGGGGGTCAGAGTTAGGGTTTTAGGGTTAGGTGTACGGAGTGAGGGGGTCAGGATTAGGGTGGTAGATTTCGGGGGGGGGGGAGGGTATGGTTAGGGGTCAGGTTCGGGTGTTAGGCTTAGGCTTGTTAGGGTTAGGAGTTTAGGATTAGGGTGGGTTCGGGTTAGGGGATTAGGATTAGGATCGTAGGGTTCGGGTGTTAGGGTAAGTGTCATGAAGGTTCGGGTTAGGGTGGTAGGGTTAGAAATAGGGTGTTCGGGTAAGGGTCAGGGCTAGTGGGTTAGGGTAAGCGTTAGGGTTTGGCGATTCGGGTTCGGGGTCGGGGTTAGGGGGCTATATGGGGTTGGGGTTAGGATTGTAGGATTTGGGTTCGGCATAAGTCTAAGGTTAGGGTTAGAGTGGTAGGGTTAGGGTGTTGGGGTTAGGTTTTGTGAGTAAGGGTGTTCGGGTTAGGGTAGCAGGATTAGGTTTAGGGTCAGGGTGAGGCTGATAGGGGGTTAGGGGTTAAGATTAGGGGTTCAGCTTAGGGTTAGGGTTAGAATTCGGGCTAGGGATTAGTGTAGGGTTGAGGGTAGGGTTAGGGTTAGGTTGAGGGTTATTGATAGGGTTGGGGTTAAGGTTAGGGAATTAGGTTTAGAGGATTAGGTTTAGGGTTAGATGGGCAGGATTAGGGTGGTAGGGTTAGGATTCGGGTTAGGGGATTAGGAGTAGGGTGGTAGGATCAGGTAGGGTGTTAGGGTCAGTGTCATGGGGGTTTGAGTTAGGGTGGTAGGGTTAGGATTAGGGTGTTAGGGTTGGGGTTAGGGATAGTGGGTGAGGATTTTTGGGATCGGGTAACGGTAAGGGTTAGGATTCAGCGGTTCGGGTTCGGGTTCGGGGGCTAGGGGGTCATAGGGTTAGGGTTACAGTGGGGTTGCGCATCAAGAAACCGGATGTCTTTCGTCAGGGTGCCTTTGGTTTCTTCGTGCCGCGTGTTGCGCGATGGGTTCTCGCGGTTGCCAAGAACTTTTCGTGTCCAGGATCCCTTGGGTTTCTTCCCAGTTGCACTTCGGGCAATCAAAGGGCCCGCTACCGAAGAAACCCCCAGGCGCCAAAGGCTCCCTGAGTCTCTTGCATCCTTGCGACAATACAACACTCCCCGCGCACGCGCGCGTGCGCCCTGGCCTGACAGGGTTTGCAATGTCATCATTGGCTGTGTATTGCCCAGAATACAAAGGTCGCTATGTTGGCCTGGAAACTAGAGTCAACCCTTAACGATGCCCGATTGGATTTTGAAGCTAACATGGGCTCTTTTGAATGTTTTCTAGTGTGGACTCTATAACACTCCCCGCGCATGCGGGCGCACGCGCGTACGCGCGCGTATGCGCGCGTACTCGCCGTGTGCCCTGGCCCGATAAGGTTTGCACTGTCAGGAAAAATGTTCTGTCCTGTCCAGAATATTAAAAAGTCGCCATGTTGGCCTGGAGACTAAAGTCCATCCTTAACGGTGACGTATTGGATTTGAAAGTTAACATGGGTTCTTGTGAACATTATCTATTGTGGACAATACAGCACGCCCCGCGCACACAGCGCGCGCGCGTACGCGCGCGTGTCCACGCGTGCCCGCCTTGTGCCCTAGCCTGTGAAGGTTTGCATTGCCAGCATAAAATAGGTTCTGTATCTTCCAGAATACAACAAGTCGCCATGTTCGCTTTGGAACTAAAGTCAGCCCTTCATGGTGACAAATTGGATTTTGAAGTTAACATGGGCTCTTGTGAGTGTTTTCTAATGTGGGCAATGCAGCACTCCCCGCGCACGTGGGCGCGCGCGCGTATGCGCGCGTACGCGCCGAGTGCCCTGGCCGGATAAGGTTTGCATTGTCCGCATTGATTCTGCATTCTCCAGAATATAAAAGTCGTCGTGCTGGCCTGGACACTAAAGGCAACCCTTAACGGTGACGTATTGGATTCTGAAGTTAACATGGGCTCCTGTGAATGTTTTTGATTGTGACAATACAGCACTCCCCGCGCACGCGGGCGCGCGCGCGCGCATGCGCGCGTACGCGCCGTGTGCCCTTGCCCGGTGAGGTTTGCATTGTCAGCATACATAGGTTCTGTATTGGGCGCGGCCTTTGGGCCTCGCCGACGCGCCCGTGCATTGCGCGCGCGGTTGAGCAGATCTTCGGTCGCGACAATAGGGCCCTGTCCGTGCGTCGCGCACGAGGGCGCGCCGATTCCTGGCCGTGGCCAAGGTTTCGCCGTTGCTTCCGCCGACGCCTTTCTTGCGAGGGCGCGCGGGATCTGGGGCGCGGCCGTTGGGCCCCGCCCATGCGTTGCACGCGTGGGCGCGCAGCTTTCGGCGCACGACCATTGCGTTTCCGACGGGGGCCATGCAGGGTCCAACCGCTACAGCCCCCTTTGGGTTTCTTGGGCAGCGCGGCCCCTGGCCGAACAGCGCTCCGCAAAGGGCGCGCAGCCCGACTATCTCGGGGCATCATGCACTTCGGTCGGCAAGCCGCTCGGCGACGACACTGTGAGATTACATGCGGCCAAGGCGTCCTGGGTTTCTTTGGCGACGCAACCCCAGGCAGGATGTGGCGCGGCGGGGTGTGCGGGGAAATTTCGCGGCCCGCCAACGAGCCTTCGGTTTTTTGGAACCTTGGGACTGGCCGTCGGGCGTTAGCGGCGACAAGAGAATAGGTTACGGGCTTTCGCGGGGCACCCGACGATTTCCTTTGGCCACGGGAACGCTGCCGCAACCCCATGTAGTTTACATCCCAAATCTTCACGAGTTTCTTCCCAAGCCGCGCTGGCGCATTCTATGAGCGCGGCCTGCTAAGAAACTGCTCGGGCCAGGGCCCCCGGGGTTTCTCCTTGTGACGCCGTCGGATAAGGAACCCAAGCCCTAGGAAAGAAACGTTGCGGTTTGTCAGGGTTCGGTTTCTTGCGATGGTTTCTTGTGGCCGCGCCCCCACTGTAGGACGGAACGATTCGGATTCGATTTAGGTCTAAGGCTAGGGTTAGTGGGTTAGGATCAGGGTGTTAGGGTTAGGGATAGGGAGTCAAGGGGTTCGGGTTAGGGTGGTAGGGTCAGGATTAGGGTGTTAGGGTAGGGCTTAGGGATAGAGGGTGAGGGTAGGGGGGTCGGGTAAACGTAAGGGTTCAGGTTAAGCGGTTATGGTTCAGGTTCTGGTGATAAGGGGTATAGGGAGGTAGGGTTAGGATGGTAGGATTTGGGTTCGGCTTAATTCTGAGGTTAGGGTCAGGGGTTTAGGGTTAGGGTGTTAGGGTCAGGGATAGGGAATCAGGGTGTTCGGGTCAGGGTAGTAGGGTTAGGTTTAGGATTAGGGTGAGGGTTATAGGGGGGTTCGGGATTAGGGTTAGGGCTTGAAGGTTACGGGTTAGTGCTTAGGTTTAGGATTAGAGTTCGGTATTGGATTAGGGTTCGGGCTAGGGTAAAGGTGAGGGTGAGAGTAAGGGAGAGGGTGAGGGTGAGGGGGGGAAGGGGGGGGGGGTCCGCCGACGACGGACCGGGGAAAATGGGGAGAGGGCGGAGGGCCCAGCCCCCCCCGCCCTTGGGGGCCTCCAGCGGCGCGCCCTCGCCAATCATGACGAGGCGTTCCTCGCAGCAGACCTCGAAGAACAGCAAGCTGCATCCGGCGACGTGGAGGGTGTCCGGCGCAGATCCGAGACAATCTGCGCGGACCGTCGAGAGTTGATGTGTCTGCAGCTTGTTGTTCTTCGAGGTATGCTGCGAGGAGCGGCTCGTCGTAATTAGCCGCGGCAGCCGCCGTGCTCGCTGGGGACGTGGAGGGGGGTCCACCGAAGATCCAGGAAATCCGCGCGGACCGTCGAAAGCTGATGTTTATTCCGTTTTCTTTGCTTCTACCACCAGCGCGTGCACCGGCTGGGCCCGCATCCCAGGGCCTCGCTGGAGGCCGTCTTCGTCGCTCCTTGGATGGTTCGTGGGGCTTCCTAGGCTTCGTTGGGGCAGCTAGTGAACTTTGCGAGATCTTTGGGCCTGTTTACCTCGTATTGGATCCGCCTGGTCGGGTCTCGAGGCTGTCTTAGAGCTCTCTTGGAGCGGTGTTGGATCATCTTACGGGA